TATCTATCCAAATGTCTTTTAAACATTGTAATTGTACCCAATCTTTCTCATTTTTCATAAAGAAAGCGGAGCAAGAATAGGACATTTGGCCCCTCAAACCTGCCCTATCCTGCCATGCCATCAGATCATTGATCTGGCCCAGGCTTCTTTTTTCATGCCCCCTCTTCATCATCCTCAACTACTGAATATTTCAAAATCTGTACCCACTCTTTAAATATTTTGTGATCTGGCCTTCATACTCCTCTGGGATATAAAATTCAAGACATTCACTAATCTTTGGGGAAGAAATTCCATTGCTTCTCAGCTTTTTAAATGAGTGCCCCTTATGCTTTAACTATGGAGATTCCCCTACTACTGGAAACATTTTCTCGATATCTGTCAAGCTCCCTTAAAAACTTGTATGTTTCAATAAATCACACCCTCATTCTTTTGATTCTAATTCATTCTAATGAATAAAAGTCTAACCTAGTTATCTGTTCTCAATCTGTCAACCCTTCATTCCAGGAATCACCCTAGTGAACCTGTTTTGAATAGCCTCCAATACCAATATGTCTGTTCTTAAAAGCAGGGACCAAATCTGTACACGTGCTCCAAGTATGGCCTCACCAACACCTTGTATAGCTGGATCAAGTCTTCCTTGTTTTTAAACTTCAACCACAGAGCAATAAAGGCCAAATTTTATTTACCTTCTTAATTACTTGCTGCACCTATATTTTAATGTTTTGTGTTTAATGCACAGAACACTCTGATCCCTCACTGCTAACTTTTTTTGGTGTTTCTCTCTCTCTATCCCTCTCCCCATTTAAATAATAGGCTACCTTTTGCTGTTCTTACCAAAGAGCATGACCTCCCACTTTCCAACATTAAACTACATCTGTCAAGGTTTTACCCACTCACTCAACCTATCTATAATCCCGTTACAGACTCCTTATGTCTGTGGCAAAATGCTCCCACCTATTATTGTATCATCTGTAAATTTGAATGTATTACACACTATTCCCATCTCCAAGCCATTTATGTAGATGGTAAATGATTGAAGCCAAATACTCGTGGCCACCACTATTTAGTCCTTTACAGCTTGAAGAAGACCCATTAATCCTAACTGTCTTTTAACCAAATGCCAATCCATGCTAATACATTACCCACAGTAATGTAACTCCTGTCTTGTATAATAAAATTTTATGTGGCACCTTATCGAATGTCTTCTGGAAATTCATATACAATATATCCACCGATTCATTCCCCTTTATGAACACATTGTTATATCCTCGAAGAATTCTAGCAAATTTGTCGAACATGATTTCCCTTTCAGAAAACGTTATTGACTATTGGATTACATTTAAGCTTTTCTAATTTTTCCTGCAATTTCCTCCTTAATAGTGGACACCAGAATTTTCTCAATGACAGATATTGAGCTAACTAGCCTATAGCTTCCTGCTTTCTGTCTCCTTCCCTTCTTGAACAGAGGCATCATATTAGCGGTTTTCCAATCCTCCCAGATTCTAGTGAGTTCTGGAATATTTTGAGTAATGTCTCACATCTTTTAAAACTCTTAAATGCAGGTCATCAGGTTCTTATGAATTGTCTGCTTTCAGTCTTATTAGTTTGTCAAATATTTGGTCTTTTACGATTGAGAGTGTTAGCAAGAGTTTACTTCCATTGGCACCTTGTTGTCTGATATTTTTGGGATGTTTACAGTGTCCAACACCATAAAGACTGATGCAAAATGATACTTTAAATTATCTGCCTTTCCTTGTTCCTCATTATCAATTCCCCAGTCACATTTTCCAAAGGTCCCACAGCCACTGTGGCTACTGTCTTTTTATAAACCCATAGAAGCTCTTGCTGCTTGTTTTTTTTATTTCATACTAATTTACTTTCATAATTAATTTTCTCCCCTTTTATTAGCTTTTTAGTCATCCATTGCTGCATCCTAAAATATTCCTCCTCCTCTGGTCTGCCGCAAGTTTTTGCTGCCTTGTATGCCTTAGTTTTAAGTAGATACTTTCTTTAATCACTTTTATTAACCATCCTTCTCATTGAGGCCTCCATTTTGACCTGAATAATTTTTTTACTTTGCATGCTGAAATATCTGCTTAAATATCTGTCATTGCTTATCTACTGACCTTTCCCTTAGTCTATTTTCCTAGCCAGTTTAGGCAATGCTTTCTTCACCTTATCCATTGCCCTAATGAGGTAGAATTAATAAGACCTTTTCTTAATTCTACCTCATTGCATATTACTAGAACTAAAATATCTTGTTCCTAGGTATATTCTGCAATTTGCTGCTTTAAGAAACAATCCCTGACACACACTACAAATTTGTCTTCAATGTTACCCATGCCCATCTGATTTGTCGAGTCAACATGCAAATTAAAATCACCCATGATCATTCTAATGCCCTTCTGTGTGCATTCATTAACTTCCAATTTACACTTTGCCCTACAGTGGGGTAACTCTTCAGAAGGCTATAGGCAACTCCCACCTGTGACTTCTTCCCTTTGCTATTTCCTTATTTCTACTCAAACTGATTCCACGTCACAACCTGTCAAGTTTACATCGCTACTCACCACTGCACTGCCATCTTCCTTTATTAAGAATGCCATAACACCACCTTTTCCATTTTGCCTTTTCTGTAGAATGCCGAATACCCTTGAATATTGAATTTCTAGCCCTGGTCACCCTGCAACCAACCTGGCTATAATGTGTTTTATTTATTTCTATTTGTGCTATCAAATCATCTATCCTGTTACAAATTCTGCATGCATTCAGATAAACAGCCTTGAATTTTGACTTTATACCATTAGTAATTATTCTGGTTCTAATTTCTACTGCACCCTGCTTATATTTTCTGTGCCTTCTTGTCACAATTTGCTAATGGTCATCTCTTCACTACCCTTCCTCTCTGTTCGTTTCTTTTTGAATTTTTTAACTTCCCATCAGTTTGAACCCCCCCCCCCTCACTAATTAGTTTTAATCCCTACATACACCTCTAGTAATACAAGTCGCCAGTACACAGGTCCCAACATGGTTCAGATAAAGCTTGTCCCAACAAAACAGCTGTCTTTTTCCTCAGTACTGGTGCCATTGTCCCATGAATTGGAACCCTTTTCTCCCAGTCCAGTCTTTGAGCCATGCATTTACTTCTCTAATCTTAATTACCCTATACCAAATTGCACATAGCAATAATAATCCTGATTATATTATCTTTGCTGTCATGCTTTTCAATTTAGACCCTAGCTGTCATAATCCCTTGTCAGAATCTCCTTCCTAGTCCTACCAATGTGTACAGTGACAACTGGATGCTACCCCTCCCATTCTAAGTTCCTCTGCAGCCCAGAAGAGATGTCCTGAACCTTGGTACCCGACAGGCAACATAGCCTTCAGAACTCTGTCTTTATTGCAGAGAATAGTATTTATTCCCCTAACTATTCTATCCATTATTATTATCTCTCAATTTCCTCCCCCTGTTTGAATGGCAGCTGTGTACCATCATGCTTTGGTTAGTTTGCTCATCTTCCCCGCAGACAATGTCCTCATTCACAATTGGAGCAAGAACTTCTTTCCTATTGTACAAGAGCACTGGTTGCCTCTCCTCCAAAACTAGATTCTAAATACCAATACCTGCCTCAGTCGAAGTCACAAACCTCTGTTCCTGACCACAGACTAAACTTGATGTAATGAACCTAAGGGATGTGACCATCTCCTGAAATACTGTGGCCAGGTAACTCTGAGCTGAAGTTCCGCTAGCATCCAACATGTTCATTGTGAATTGCACTGGTGTCCACCAGCTCCCACAAACTACAGCTGCAGCACATCGCCTGCCCAGCTATTCTTCCTTACTCAATTAATTTGGATGTTAAGTATTTTAAAAGCGAATATCCTAATTGTATTCTTCAACTATAATAACGTTTCCTGTTTTAAGCTGCTTCAAAAAAGTTACAGGAGAAATACCTACCAATCACCTACCTTTCCTGTGACATCACATTTTAGCTTTGACAAGTAGAGACAGGTTGAAGGGGCTGTTTATGGCCTTTCTGTATTTCCTAGTGCAGCTCCACCCACCCAGTTTGCTTCCAGGTAATGCTGACCTGTTGCACACTCCTCCCAGTTCCATTTGAATATTTAGGAAATGAACAGTGATCGTTTTTGAACCAAGGGTATGATACACTTTGAAGTTGCCGCTTTACCCCAGCTTCTTCTACCCCTGCCTCCTGAAGGGATTGAATCCAAGACAGGCACAACTCCTAGGTTGCTAAATGAATGACAATGTTTCACCATGTGGGAAAGTCTATTAGGCTGTAGCCCATCACCATTCAACCTATCCTTTTCAATGTCCTTTTTGGCAAGAATCTGGCTGAAATATTGGCTGTTTTCTTTCCTTCTTTTGACAATCTCAGTTCTAAGGCCAGTTATGGCACCACGCCTGACTGCTAGTGACCAGCTACATCCCCACTAATTCAGTAGAAGCCAATTACAGAATTTACCTGACCGCTTTTCATTGTATGCAATGTAATTGTCATCTGAGCTATCAGTATGTATTGAGGTTATTCAACATTGATCAATAATAAACTAACTAATGTTATTTGTTTTCTTTCTAGTACCGTTAATAGTACTGAACTCCATAACCATTGTACTCTTGTTACTTTTTGGATGAAGAAATGCAAAAGAACGTCAATGCTGTCCTCTGTGGAAATTTGCAGCACGTTTTATTGTTTAACTTCATGATCTCCTTTGAACTGTAGTAAAGGCAAACATTGCATAATTCAGACTTTTGTAGACATAAAATATAAAAGAAAATGGGATCAATGCAAAAAATAATTTCAACTTTTCAATGTACTGTTCCAATTAAACTGTGGAAATTTACAGTTCTGAACATTGTGTTATGTGGTGATGTGAGTAATGTAGAGGAGGAGCACAAGTCAGTTTATTGCACTGGGAGCAACATTCAGGCCAGATTTGGATTTATGAGGGATGGTACATAGGATGGAACACTTTGAAGAAGATTTGATTTTTGCTCCAGAGATTACTGAACATGTCTATTTGGTGCTTTACTGTTGAATTTCACAAATTGCGACCCTTGGACTCAATTAGTTTTGTATTTTCCAGGAAATGCAACAAAGTGACAAAATCAAATAATTTATGACCAACCAAAAAAAGGCTCTGGTTATAAGGTATGTGTGCTGAAGTTGGACTACAAGGTATGTGTGCTGAAGTTCGATATGTGGATGATAGCACAATCTAAATCCTGATGTCTTCTGTGACTTGATAAACCACCAATCATTCCATTTCTGTTAAATTATCACACAGCTCGACCAGTATACTGTGCTGGATAAGTACGAATTTCCTCCAGTTAAATATTGTGAAGATAAAACTATTGTTTTTGACCCTTCTACAATCTCTGTTCCCTAGCCACTGGCTCCATTCCTCTGGCAATTACTGGAGGTTGAACTGTACACTTCACAACATTAGTGTCATATTGACCCTGAAATGAATTTTTGGCCACACATCTGCATGACCAATTGCAGCACCTTCTCTCCGTTCTTTAACTCTGCATAGGTCTACTACTACCTCACCTGACCTACTGCCAAAACTCTCATCTATACTTTTGTCACCACTCATCAAGTCATACAGCACAGAAACAGACCCTTCCGTCCAAGTAGTCTGTGCCAACCAAGTTTTTGAAACTAAATTAGTCCCATTTGCCTGCACTTGGCGCATATCCTTCTAAACCTTTCAAATTCATGTACTTATCCAAATGTCTCTTTAATGTTGTAACTGTACCTGCATCGACCACTTCCTCTTCCACACACGAACCACCTTCTGTGTGAAAAAGCTGCTCCTCGGGTCTCTTTTAAATCTTTCTCCTCTCACCTTAAAATAATGCCGTCTAGTTTTGAACTCCCAACCCTAGGGAAAGAAAGCTTTGCTATTCACCTTATCTATGCCCCTCATGATTTTATAAACCTCAAAAAGGTCAACCCTCAACTTCCTATGCTCCAGTGGAAAAAGTCCCAACCTATCCAGCCTCTCCTTATAATTCAAATCCTTCAATCCTTCTAAATTCCTTGTAAATCTTTTCTGCACCCTCTCCGATTTAATAATATCCTTCCTGTAGCAGGACGACCACAGCTACACTGTACAGCATGGACTGCCAACCTTCTCAAGGAAGCCCAGTCCAGACTCTTGGCCTCAAGGTGAAGTCCAGCATGGACTCCCTGCTTTAGAAGGACTGTAATGCTGATTTTTACCTTCATTTCTTTATTTTTGTAATTTATATCTAAGATTTTGCACCTAAGGTATCTTTGTACCTGCTTTACAGGACTGTAATGCTGATCTCTTTAATTTTTAATTTTTCTAATTTATACCTATGATTTTGTACCTAGGTTGGCACTGGAAAATGCAACTTTGTACACTTTTCACCCACCGTACTCATGTATCTGTGTACTTGAGTGTTTGTGATAATAAACCTAATTCTAATTCTTATTCTACTCCAAAAGTGGCCTCATCAGCATCCTGTAAAACTGCAACCTGACATCCCAACTTCAATACTCAATAGTCTGAGAAATGAGAGGAAGCATTCAAAACGTTGCCATTACCACTTTGTCTACCTCTGATGCAACTTTCGATGAACTGTGTACTTAAACCTTTAGGTCTTTTTGTTCTACAACATTACCCACAGTCCTACCATTTACTGTGCCCTTCATCATACCAAAATGCAACACCTCACATGTATCTAAATTAACAGCTCATTGGCCCAATTGATCAAGATCCCTTTATAATCTTAGATAACCTTCTTTACTGTCTACCACCAAATCAACTTGATCATTCAACTCACTCTTGGCCAGTAACTCTCTTCAAACTTGAGGTTATCCAAAATTCTGTTACCCTTGTTTTAATTTGTACGAAGTCCAGTTGTCAATCAATTTTGTGCTCGCTGACCTACCTAGGCTCCTGGTTAAGTAATGCCTCAATTTTAAGTCCACACTGCCCTTCTGAAGAGCATCCCACCCAGACCCTGTAACCTTGCATTTCCCATGGCTAACCCACCTAGCCTGCCCATGCTTGGACACTATGGGCAATTTAGCACAGCAATCTACCTAACCCGCATATCTTCGGACAGCAGGAGGAAAGCGGAGCACCTGGAGGAAGCCAAGGCAGACAGGGAGAATGTGTAAACTCCATGCTGTCAGTCACCTGAGGGTGGAATCAAACATGGGTCTCCGGCGCTAGAAGGTAGCAGTGCTACCCACCGAGCCACCACGCTGCCCCTTTAATTATAGCTTTACTGTGAATAGCTACAGAGCGTGTGCAAAAGGAAATGTGTTATACATGTCTGAACAGTTGATTAAAAAACTTAGGGGAGATGATGGTGTTGTAAGGATATCACTGCATTGCTAATCCAGAGGCCCAGGCTAATCTTTGTGGTCAAGGGTTCAAATCACATCATGACTGCCAGTGGAATTTAAATTAGAGGGGACTTATGGTACAGTGGTATTGTCCCTACCCCTGGGCTAGATTGACCAGATTCAAGCCCCACCCGCCCTGGTGGTATGCCATAACTTGTCCCAATGCGTTCATTAAAGATGATGATAATACAAGTTGTCAGGCACCCTCAAAGTTTAATAAACGAATTTTCATTCTTCAAAGTAATTCAGAGTGAGGAATAGTACTGAAATCTGCAACTAGAACTCTAAAGTTGGCATTAAAGATACCAGTGAAAGAAAGATTATGGATGAGCAACAAGAACTGCTTTACAAAATGTATTAATTTTCAGATAGTCTCTTAGTGAAAGGTAGGATTTTTATCCACAAAAGACAAATTCTGCAACCCTATCAATTAGTTCAAAATAAAAAGTCATCTTACATCAGAGGACAATAATATTTATGGCAATAAGGGGACTTTCAGGGTGACCAGAAAGCATCAACTTAAAATCATCACTGTAAGGATAAAGGGGACACCTAGAAGAATTATTTTCTATGTAAGTCGATATTTTCCTAATCAACCTGTTCAGGCATGTTGTATCACACCTCTCAAGCAGGTGGGACTTGTTAGGACATGTAATAGTTTACCAAAGACAGTAATGGAAGCAGAATCCAGTAAAGTGATAAATTTTGAGGGAAAAGGAATTAAAATTTAAATGAGATTGGCCCGGATTTTCCAATAGCTGCATAGTCATTTTTGCAGCGTAGATGGGAGTTACATATCAAGGTCCTGTGGAATTGCCAATGTAGACACTGACGGAATTGCTCAGGAAATTGAATTTTCTGATACATAATTTCCCTATACCTGGAATCTTCTGAAAGTATCCACTGAAGGCCATTAATAAACACAGAGCTAAATCCTATATATACTCCACTGCGAAGGAAAACTGCAAGTGAGATAACCCAGCTCAAAGGACACCAGAGTTTAAATAACGGGCAGGAAAATACATCAGAGGCTGTACTGATGATGTTACCCAGCAGGGTAATAAAACGTCTGCGGAACAGCAAACCAGCTCGGCGAGCCAACCAACCACAACATCCACAACCCGAGCTACAAATCTATTCAAAAATCTTAGAGACCTATGGGCGAAGTACACTCAGATTGGCACGAAAATGGGAAAACTGCACCAAATGACAGCGCTACCTGCAAACAACTCTACTTCCTACATGGATGCCTCAGGAACCAAGTATTACCATGCAGTGTGAGATACAAACTCCCCTATCAACAACCCACAAGCTCGCAGGACGGCAGAACACAATGGCCGCTAGATGGTGAAGGTAATGATCAGTGACGCACACAACCGGCTCCACAGATATGACAGAGAAATTACGTGCCAAAAAACTTTATTCCTAAACGCTACCAACCAGGACTGGATAACTGACCCAGAACGAGTCATTGACATCAGTCAACAGACTACAAGAGCGAAGAAAAGACAGATCCTTCAGGAGAAACTAGCCAAACTAACCTACCAAAACAACAACAACAGAGCAGACACCTGGATAAGAAACCATTCAGACAGGAAACTGACAGACGCAGGGAAAGCTGTCCTAATTCGCGGATTCAACTACAACCACAGAGACGCCAAATAGACAGAATTTCTAGCCTCACTAGAAGCCACACTGAAGACCAACGGCATCAATGAAGAAACACAACAAGCCATAAGACAGACAATGATCCCGACACTGACCAGAAGGACCAAACTTAACACTCTTACCACATCAGAAAGGAAGGCCCCAGAAAGACTGAAAAAGGACAAAAACATCGTAATACTACCAGCAGACAAAGGATGTCTGACGGTAATGCTAAATAAACAAGACTACCTCTCCAAAGCACAGACACTACTGGCCGACGAGAGCACATACCAGCAAGTGCAAATAGACCCGACACCACAACTGGGCAACAAGATTCTCAACGCACTAAAGAGACTCAAACAAACTGGACAAATCAACAAAACAGACTACCTAAGAATGAAACCAGAAGGAATTAACACCCCCCGATTCTACAGCCTCCCGAAGGTACACAAACCGGAAACACCCCTCAGACCCATAGTTTCCCTGCCAGGCACGCCAGCACATAGATTAGCCAAGGAGTTACAAAGGAGACTAAAGCACCTAGTCAGCAAGTCACTCCACTCAATCCACTCAGCCCAAGAGTTCCTCAATTCCATCAAGGACATAAGAATAGATGATGACGTGGCCATGGTATCGTTTGACATTACTGCCCTATTCACATCGATAGACATACCACTAGCAAGAGAAACACTGGCAACACTACTCAAACAAGAACAAGACCCGAGTGACACCATCTCCACAGACAACATGCTGAAGCTACTGGACCTATGCCTCACTACCCACTTTACCTTTAACGGGCAAATACATGAACAGATCAACGGGACACACATGGGATCACCTATCTCCGGACTAATAGCTGAAGTGGTGACGCAGACACTCGAAAGCATAGCCCTTCCGCTAATCCAACCAAAACTATGGATACGAGACGTGGACGACACCTCTGTAATTATTAAACGGACCAAACTAGAGGAGACACGCGAACTAATAAACAACACTCTCACCAGGATCAGATTCACCAAGGAAGAGGAAAAGGACAAACACCTCCAAGGATGGCACAGTGGCCCAGTGGTTAGCACTGCAGCCTCACAGCGCCAGGAACCCAGGTTCGATTCCACCCTTGGGCGACAGTGTGGAGTTTGCACATCTTCCCCGTGTCTGCATGGGTTTCCTCCAGGTGCTCCAGTTTCCTCCCACAATCCAAAGATGTGCAGGCTAGGTGGATTGGCCATGCTAAGTTGCCCCGTAGTGTTCAGGGATGTGTACATTAGGGGTTTATAGGGGGATGGTCTGGGTGGGATGCTCCAAGGGTCAGTGTGGACTAGTTGGGCCGAAGGGCCTGTTTCCACACTGTAGGAATTCTATGATTCTATGATTTCTTGACGTCATGGTGGAACACAGGACCAACGGGGAATTCCTAACAAAGGTACACAGGAAAGCCACACACACTAACCAAGTACTGAATTTCAACAGCAACCACCCTAACACCCACAAACGAAGTTGCGTGAAAACTCTAGTTAAGCGGGCAACAACACACTGCAGCAACCCAGAACTACGCCAAAAAGAAGAAGAGTACCTCCTCCAAGTATTCAAAGACAACAGACGCCCAAACAACTGGGTCAGAATATGCCTATTACACAAACGACACCTGGAAGATACTGCATGCCCCGACACACTCATCATGCTACCTTACATCAAGAACACATCTGAACTGACCACAAGACTCTTATGACCACTGGGCATCACAGTAGCACCCAAACCAAAGACCCCTTACCCACTATGGACAGGACCAACGTTATATACAAGATTCCCTGCAAAGACTGCAACAAACATTACATTGGATAGACAGGAAGAAAATTAGCCACAAGAGTACATGCGCATCAACATCAACTGGCAACAAAAAGACACGACCAATACACTCTCATCTCCATCCACATGGATAAGGAAAACGACTGCTTTGATTAGGACAACACCAGGATCCTGGGACAGGCCAAGCAGAGACAAGGATGGAAATTCCTAGAGGCCTGGTTCTCCACAAAGAAAGCCATCAACAAACACATGGAGCTGGACCCTATATATACTCCACTGTGAAGGAAAACCGTAAGTGAGGTAACCCAGCTCAACGGACACCAGAGTTTAAATAACAGGTGGGAAAACACAACAGCACTTCATCAGAGGCTGCACTGAAGATGTTGCCCAGCAGAGTAATGAAACGTCTGCAGAACAATGAACCAGCTTGGTGAGCCAACCAACCATAATATCCACAACCCGAGCTACAAATCTACTCAAAAACCTTAGAGTATCCACTTATATTGCAGAATTCAGAGCGTTCTGCTGCAGGTAATTAAATTGGGATCCATGAAAAGTTAAACAATTTAAAAACCTGGTCCACCTCCTGGATAACTACCAAACTGATCCTGCACCTTACAGACAAAAATCCAGGAACTTACCCACCCATCACCAAATTCAGATCTCTTCTCAGGCAGGTATAAAAGCAATGTTTAAGAGACATCTTGGCAGATATATGAATATATGAAAAGGCATGGTATTCCATTCTATTGACGGATATGGACTGTGTGTGGCAAAATGTTTTTAGTTTAGAAAGGCATCATGCATAGTCTTGGTGGGTATAAGGACCTGTTCCTGTGGTGTACGTTCTTTGTTCTTACCATTCAACAGCTCTGACTGTACTTCCCCCAACCCCTTACACACCTTACCACTGTAATCTGACAACCAACCCCGCCAAAGCTGATAACCCCTGTACACTCCAAACATGCTCCATCACCTACTTAGCCTCTTCTGACTTTGTGCCCTGGCATAATAATTACATGGTCCTAACCTTGCACCCTAACGTTACACTTAACACAAGTACAATTTCACAGGACCTGACAAAGTGGCTGTCTGTGATGCTGGATATTTAAATCACAGAGTATGACAAGTACGACTGTGCCACAAAAGGGGTGTGATATGATTTTCTCCAACTAGCCCAGAGTGCATTCTGCACTTCTGAAGGATCCCCTCGAATCTCTTGTCAGTAATGTGGTGGTCTTTCTTAATGTAAAAATGTAGGAGCACACTGGCAATCTGTCTAGTAACATTTTGTTTCACACAACCAATATAAAACTAAATAAAATGCTATGTTAAGTTAGAGTAGTGTTTCTCATAAAGGTATACAAGTTAAAATTAATCATGCTTGAGATCAAATATGAATGTTTAAATGAAATAATTAATTAGCCCAGTTCTGATTTTGCCACAACCCTCCATCTTTGGCTCACTGCCCACCCGCCTGAACTGTTTGCCTTTTTACACTATTTCAAAGGGCAGTCAACCACATTAACATAGGCTGTACCCTATAGGCCAGAACAGTTAAGGAGGGCAAATTTTTTTTTATCTCTAGAGGACATATACTGAACCAGATTTTGTTTCTAAGGGGACTAGTCCTCATTAGAGTGGACTTTAATTCTAGTTTTGTTTTATTAAATTCAAGCTTCACCGTCTGCCATGAAATTTTGAACTGATGTCCCAAAACATCAGCCTGGCATTACGAAAGCAGTAACAGGACAGTAACCATTATGAGTCCTCCCATCCGAGCTCGGAGGTCACTCCTTCCCAACAAAGGTTCATCTTGACTTTGCTGAGTCTTCACGATTCTTCTGACTCCGCCCAGAGGTCCGTTTCGTTGGCATGCCCGTGAATAGTCACAGAGAGAGGAAAAAAGCACATTCCTGTAAACTGTTTAATAAACGCCAGTGACCGACGTAATTTAAACTTTAAATGGAAAATAAATGAAGTGATAAAAGATTGATACAGGCCGAAAGGGCCGCGACCCCGAAACCGAGGAGGGGGCGGGGCCGGGGCCGGGTTGGACCTGGAGCCGGCTGGTTGCCCTGGGAACGAGAGCGAGTGACAACCGGAAATCCAAGTGCTGTTCAGGTTTGGTGAATGACAGTCTTCGATGTCAGGGTGACACCAGGAGGAGGATTGTATTCAATGTTATCTTAACTGCTGAAACTCTGGTTATTTGTTTACAAGAAGTATATATTTTAAAAAAGCCCATTGTATTTTACCTTTATGAAGAAAAAATAAGCAAGCACAAGTTCTTCATTGCAGCAGAGGAGATTCAGGTGACCTAATAGAACTTTTTTTCCTTAAAATTGTGAAGAGGAATTCGATGCAAATTATTTACTATATTAAAGCGTTTTAAAGAGCTCTAACGTAATGTACTGAGATACAGTTTGGATCCAGTGTAAGCCAGTTTTTGGTGGGATGCGGAGAGGGAGAGTATTTTAAAAGTAGATTGACCTCAACTGAACGTGAGATGTATCCATTCATGAAAGCAAATGAAAAATGTCAACTTACAGATTAGCTAGGCTTTTTTTTTATTCAAGAGCATGCTTGCCTTCATTGAGTAGAGGAGTTGGGACTTCATTTTGCGGCTGTACAGGACAGACATTGAGGCAACTTTTAGAATACTGTGTACAATTCTGGTCGCCCTTCCATAGGAAGGATGTTGTTAAAATTGAAAGGATGCAGAAAAGATTTGGGAGGATGTTGCCAGGACGGGGGGTGGTTTGGGTTAGCGGGAGAGGCTAAATAGCCTGTGAGTTTTTGTTTTCATAGAGTATCAGAGGCTGAGAGGTGACCTTATAGAGGTTTATAAAATCAGGACGAACGGGGATAGGTCTTTTTCTTCAGGTAGGGGAGTGCAAAACTAGAGGGCACAGGTTTAAGGTGAGAGGGGAAAGATTTTTAAAAAGGATCGGAGGGATATAATGTTTTCACACAGAGGGTGGTGTATGTGTATGGAATGAATTGTCAGATGAGGTGGTGGAGGTGGGTACAATTACAACATTTCAAAGGCATCTGGATGGGTATATGAATAGGAAGGGTTTAGAGGGATATGGGCCAAATGCTGGCACATGGGACTAGGTCAGATTGGGATGTCTGCTTGGGCAGAGACCAATTGGACCGAAGGATCTGTTTCTGTGTTGTATGACTCTCTAATTCCAACAGAAAACTATACGTTAGCAATCTGTCTTTTGACTGTCTGAATCATCAGATACCAACGCCAATAACAGGGCTTTCAACTGATCCTAACATTGAAGGATTATTGGAGCGACTGATTAGGAGAAAAGTTCTGATTTTTTTACATAATGCAGTGCAAAATTGTAAAATCCATTAAATAGATTGCTCACATCATGAATTTAGCTATGAGGAATGACATTCTTTGGGTAAATAAGGCAAGTCATTAAAAGAGTAATTAAAAGCTTGATTGGCTAAATAGACTTTGCTATATTATTTAAATTAATAATACTTGGAAGATTTTGTAAATGTGACAGAAGACAGGACTATTAACAGCCAAAGGAGAAAGGCCACCATCACCACCTTTGGGCAACTGGGGATGGGCAAGAGAAATTAATCTTAGCAGTATCTTTCACATCTTGAAAAGTTGAAAGAAATTTGATCAACGTATAGTCATAGAGTTATACAGCACAGAAACAGACCCTTTGGTCCAAGTTGTCCATGCTGACCAGATTTCCCAAACTAAACGGGTCCCATTTGCCTGCATTTGGCCCATATCCCTCTAAACCTTTCTTATTCATGTACATGTTCAGATGTCTTTTAAATGTTATAACTGTACCTACATCTACCAGTTCCTCTGGCAGTTTATTCATGTACAAATGACCCTCTGTGGGGAAAAAAATTGCCCCTCAGGTCCCTCTCCAATTTAATAATAACATTCCTTTGGCAGGGTGACCAGAATTGTACACAACTTGATTTCATTGAATCCTACCATCTTCTTACTGCAGCATCTACTTTCTGGCTTTCCAATCATAGAGTCATAGATTCTACAGCACGGAGGCAGGCCCTTCGACCCAAACAGGTCCATGCTGACCAAAATGTCCATCCACGCTAACTGTATTTCCCTGCACTTGGCCTGTCCCAGATGTTGATTTGCTTCTTTTATTGAAAAATTTACTAATATTGACTCTGAACTTGCACTTCACAACCAAGAATATGTGCCCTTTAGCTCCTTAATTGGGGTATCAAATATATGATTTTTACATTGCATTATCCTGTTGAGCATTTGTCTATATGATTGGGGAGTGAAGGCATGGTAGCTAAGTTTGCAGGTAACACAAAGATAATTGTGAAAAAAACACAAGGAAGTTGCAGGTGCATAGGCTGATTGAGTGGGCGAAAATCTGGAGTATAATATGGGAAAATATGAAGTTATTCATTTTGGTAGGACTATTAAAAGCAGACTATTATTTACATGAGAATGATTGCAGAATTCTGAGCAGAAGGATTTGAATCACAAAAACAGACATTGCTGGAAAAACTCTGCAGTTCTGGAAGCATCTATTGACAGAAATCAGAGTTAACATTGCGGGTCCAGTGACCCTTCAGAGCTAAGTTGAACAAAAGATGGACGTGAAAAGAATGTTAACTTCAGTGGGTGAGTCTCGAACTAGTTTTAAAATTAGGGGTCCTTTTGGAAAGAGGTGAGGAGAATCAGTTGTGCAATTTTGGAATTCTGCCTCTGAAGGTGGAAGGAGTGGGGTCATTGAATATTTTGAAGATGGAAATAGATAGATTCCTTTTAGGCAAGGAAATCATGAGATATCAGGAGTAGGTGCAAATACAGAATTTGAAACAAATACATCACCCATGATCTTATTGTATGGCAGAGCAGGCTTGATTGTCTACTTCTGAACTTAGAACAAAGAATAGTACAGCATAGGAACAGGCCCTTCAGCCCACCAAACCTGTGCCGACACATGATGCCATTCTAAACTACAAAGGGGGAGGCGATGGCCTTGTGGTAATTTCGCTGGACTGTTAATCCAGGGACCAGATAATGTTCTAGGGACCCGGGTTCGAATCCTGCCATGGCAGATGGTGGAATTTGAATTCAATAAATATCTGGAATTAAGAATGTAATGATGACCATAATTCCATTGCCGATTGTTGGAAAAACCCATCTGGTTCACTAATGTCCTTTAGGGAAGGAAATTGCCATCCTTACCTGGTCTGGCCTACATGTGACTCCAGACCCACAGCAATGTGGTTGACTCTTAACTCTGGGCAATTAGGGATGGGCAATAAATGCTGCCTAGCCAGCGATGCCCTCACCCTTATGAATAAAAAGAAATCTTTTGCCTCTTCATAGTCCATATCCCACTATTGGCTGCCTATTCATGTATCTGTCAAGATGCCTCTTAAACTTTGCTATTGTATCTGCTGCTACCACTTCCTCTGGCAATGCATTCCAGGCACTTCTCACCCTCTGTGTATTTTAAAAAAAAAAAATGCCTCTCATATCTCCTTCCAACCTATGTCCCTTCACCCTGGGAAAAAGACTCCAAACATACATCTTTCCATGCCTCATAAATTTGTAAACTTCTGTCAGGTCACCCCTCAGCCTCCGGTGTTCAAGTGAAAACAAACCAAGTTTGTCTAATCTCTCCATAGCTAATCTCATAGCTGATACCCTACAACATCTTGGTAGACCATTTCTGTACCCGCTCCAAAACCTCCAAATCCGTCTGGTAGTATGGTGACTAGGACTGTACACAGTATTCCAAATGTGGCCTAACTAAAGTTCTATATAGCTGCAACATGACTTGCCAATTGTTATATTTTAAATGCTGATCGATGAAAGTAAGCATGCTATACACCTTCTTTATCACCTTGTCCACTGGTGTTGCTACTTCCAGAGAACTGTGGACCTGTTTGTCTAGATCCCTCTGTGTGTTAATGCTTCTTAGCCTTCTGCCATTTATTGTATTAGATCTTCCAAAATGGATCACCTTGCATTTGTCTGCATTGAATTCCATCTGCCATTTCTCTACGCAAATCCCCAGCCTATCTATCTCCTGCTTTATTCTCTGGCAATCCTCCTCCCTATCCACAGCTCCCCCAATCTTCATGTCGTTTGCAAATTTAAACTATTCAAACCACCTACGTCTCCTCCAAGTTATTTGTGTAGATTATAAGAAACAGGGGTCCCAGCACTGATGCCTGTGGAGCATCACTCGTCACAGATCTCCTATCAGAAGAATACCTTTTCATCTCTGTCTTCCATGACCAAGCCTGTTCTGTATCCACCTTAACCGCAGATCCCATGTGACTTCACCTATATAATTCTACCATGAGGGACCTTTTCAAAGGCCTTGTAGACAACATCCATTGCCCTAACCTCAGCTTTGTGAGACATGACCTCCTCCACACAAAGCCATGCTGCCTATCACTAATAGGTCCATATTTTCCCAAAAGTGAGTAAGTCGTGTTCCTAAGAATCTTCTCCAATAATTTCCCTTCCACTGACATATGGCTCACCGGCCTGTAATTTCCCAGATTATCTCTGTTGCCCTTTTTAAACAAAGGAACAACATCAGCTATTCTCCATCCTCTGGAATTTCTCCTGTGACTAAAGAGGTTACAAAGATTTTGTGCAAGACCCCAGCAATTTCCTCCCTCAGCTCCCTCAGTATTCTGGGATAGATCCCATCAGGTTCCAGGAACTTGTCTAACTTAATGCTTTTCAAAACACCCAACACCACCAGCTTTTTTAACATTAATATGCTGTGGTTTATACCCCTCTTGAGAATCACTATCTACCATGTCGTTCTTTGTGAATACTGATGCAAAGTTTGCAATAATGACCATCCCCTTCCTCTGGCTCCATGCATACATTTCCTCCTTTGTCTTTGAATGGACCTACCCTTTCCCTGGCTACCCTCTTGTTCCCTTATTTATGTATAAGGGTTTGACAAAGACATTTCAAGGCCCCTTTTAGCCCTCTTAATTCCATGTTTGAGTTCTTCCCTGCTATCTTCATATTCCTGGAGGCTATGTCTATCTTCTGTTTCCTAAATCTTATGTATGCCTTGTTTTTCTTTTTGACTGAGCTCTAAATTTCTTATCCA